CCCAACTCTCATTCCCGAATATGTCCGGAGCTGTGAAGGTGAATGGAATGTCTTTCTCTCTCATTGGGGGAGAGGGTTTGGCAGCCGGTGTATGGTGTGCGGTGGTAGTGGAAGGCTCTCTTGAGTGGGGGGGGGGGGGGGGGCAGGGGTGTTGATCAACATAAGGCTATCTCCATGGGGGAAGGGAGATGGGGGGTGTTGGTCAGTGTCAGGCTCTCTCCGCTGGGGGAATGGGGGGGGGGGGGGTCTTTCAATTTTTGTGTTGTCCAGGGCAGCACAAAACCTAAATACACCACTGTGCATAAGAAGCCATATGTTACAATGATAGTTCTTTTGGGGTGATCCCGAGGGAGTGGTGTCAATCCTGGGATACCTTTCGATAGCCCCGGACCCCCAGATGATAGGGTCCAAAAAACAACATGTTCCATGGATGGGGCTAAAGTGACAGCTGATTAGAGTTACCTGGGTGCCATTTGTAGAGTAACCAAGCAACAGTTCCATAGCTGTGGTTATCAAACACTAGTGAGAGAAATTCCGAGGTCCCCGAGAAAGCTCCCTCTCAGTAACCACCCTGCCCATGTCCCACCAAAAGGAGAACATAGTATATAGAGTGACGTGGCAGGAAATGGGCCTTTGAAGCAACTCCTAGTAAAGTTAATAGGTATTCCTAGTGGCCCTAGCTGCTATACAGTCCCATGCAAATGTGGCTAGGACCTGGTAATACGCTGATGAAGTTCCCAGGCTAGATGGAAGTACTGGTGGGCATAAAAGTTAACTAGTGACCGGCTCCTTCTGGATAACTTGAAACCCAATAAAACACAGAGTTCTCCGGCAATGGTCCTTCTGCAGCCCCAAGTCCAGGACAATTCCATCTTATTACTGCTGATCTCCTGCAGTCTCTTCCTGTCTAAATGCATGTACTTCAGCAATGTCTGCATGACATTTCTCAGGGCAGGTGTTCTGATGGTTGACACAGACCCTTGCAGGCTCCATCACAAAGTCATATGACAAGGTGACAAATAAGTAGGGGACAGGGACAGTGTTGCCTTATAACAGAAAGTTCCAGAAGTAGGCGTGGCAGGAACATCAGGTCGTTTAGTGAAAGCTGCAGATTTAAAAATGTTAAAAATCACTTTTAAAATTACATTAATTTTAGTGTATCTCTGTCACTATTGGGTCCAAAGTAAAGTAAGGACACTCTAGACAAAGAGATGATGTAATATAAAAACATAAAAGAGTGATGGCAGATAAATATCTAGTGGTCCATCAAGTGATCAAAACAATTGTATCTGCAAAAAAATCCAATTGCTATAACTTCTCTTGCAATCAATTTGGTTTTCCACTATAGAATAATTATTCTGATCAGAAAAGATCAGTCAGAAAAGAAATTGATCATTTATCAAAGTGTGTATGGCCACTATTAGGTTGCTAGGCGAAAGATGATAAATGTGCACCAGTTGGCCACTTCTCGACCTTTTGGCTAAGATCAAGTGTAGTATCTGTTCTTATCAGTGTCTAGTAGGGGAGCTCAGTCATCATTCTGGCATGGGCTGGGATGACTGGCTGTATAGTGTGTCTTCTTGTATGATGGGGGTCCTGAGGACCCTCCTTGGAAATCCACATTCTGTACCCACCAGGTAAGGTGGGGTCAGTAGTGCTTCCCTATTGTGGAAGGTTCCAAGAGGCCTAGTGCTTCCTGATTCGTGAAGTGCTGCCTTGTCTGGCCAGGGGTCAGGGAGTCTGTGGTGTTAACTGTGTGAGTAACACACCACTTGTTTATTCTGCACAAAACCTCATGAGGTGGCATTTTAGCTGACTCTGTGGCTTATTTCGTTTTGTATGTATGTTTTTTCATGCAAGGATTGTAGGGTGCAGGTCTTTTTGCATACCTTGACGGTTTAGGGTGAGGAGCTTCAGCTGACCATGAGGAGCAGGGTCTGCCCGGCCTTGTGGCTAGGTGGATCTGAGTATATCTAGACCCGTTAAGAGTCTTGTGTTGCAGGGGGTTATGTTAAGAACCTTTGTTTTTGGAAGGGGACCACCCCAGGACATTTTATTTCTGTGTGTTCACGTTCTTTTTTGGTACATGTTGGTGTCTAGTTTTTGCCCACCTGAAAGAAAAAAAATTTGAAGTCTGTGGTTCCAAAAATGTGCGATTCTGGCTGAGAAAAGCTCAGCATACTTTTTTTGTAGACATGTGCACGCTGCAAATTTTTGTTTTGTTTGGGATGCATTCGTTCATTGAAGAATTTCATTACATCATTATGTTGAACTGATTTGTTTTCCGGGATTCATTTCATACCTTCGTCATTTGTTTTGTATATTCCTTGGTTCAGGTAGCTTTCAAATTGGCCATTTTGCCACCATGTGCAGCTGAGCACAACTTCCATCCACTATGTGACCTATATTTATTCTTTACACTCCTGACGAAGCTGTTTTCTGGAGCGAAACATGTAGTTTCTATTTTTCTTTTTGGTCTTTCTTTGGGAGCACTTTTTGAATGCAGATGGTATTTACCCTCTCCCCCCTCTTTTTGGAGAGGTCGGTACTGCGTTTTACAGTGCATCATTTGCATTCCTCAAGACAGTGAGGTATTTTTGGTGGATATGGTGATGTATGGGGCTTATCCATGTGAGGCTGACATATAAGCCCGTGGATGAGTTTACCCGGATTACATATCTGTAGCAAGATATATTATACTATCTAATTAGTTTTGTCCATGGGGTAACTCCATTTCCTTAACAGAGATTATATATTCAAGCTGATAGGTTTATGATCAAAGTACAGTGCCTCTTTGTATGCCATCACTTCATCTAAAACAGTATGGTATTTGATTTGGTCAGGTGTTATTAACCATTTGGATGTAAGGTAAATAATTGCAATGGTATTCAGTTATATTGTGCGCAGTACATTCCACTCCAATAGGCATTAACCTCTTCACGCTGGCCAAATGCAAATGTGCGGCCTTCCAGTGTCTGGGCCTAGACGCCGAGCAGCCACACATTTGTGTTCTATTAAAAAAAGAACATATGTGCTGAGAGCATGTGACCTGTGCGCTCCCAGCACATGTCCGGTACGCACGGAAAGGTCCCAATCTCCTCTTTCGATCAGGACCTTTCCCGACAATGGGACTGCCGTGATGGCGTTTAGGGTCACATGACCCTAAACCCCGCCTCCTAAAACCCTTAAAGGGCCGGGAGGCGCAGGCGCCAAGGGGTTAATTACACCTGAGCATACATTTTTTATATATTTGAATAAAAATTATATATTTTGGATTCATCAATTGGCCAGATGGTGCATAGGGAAATGCACCCTCGTCCAGTATAAATTTGTTATTTGCCAAAGATGATAATTTACAATTGGGGCTTAGTTCAATAGTAGATTTGAGAAATGATGCAGTTTTTCCAGGAAGATTGCTATATATTTTGATATATGATCAAATCAGATGGATTTGATCCATTCGGAACACTAGTCCAACCCACCAAGAGAAATGGCATGAGCTGAACAGACAGTATCGACTGACGTCATGTGCATCTGAATTAATGAATGAAATTCAGATTCATTCATTATATGAATGTGAATTATCGAATACATTAAAAAATTGAATGAACCCCTTCTTGCCGCCATCTCCCAGCCCTTTAAAAGTTTTTTAAATGCCAGGAGGTGGAGGATAACACTTGGGTCATGTGACCGCTGTGATTGGCTGTCACATGATTGGAAAGCTCCCAATCGCTAATATGCATTGGAAGCTTTCCAGTCCCCAGCGGATTCGGTGCTGGGAGGGCGCATGCTCCCAATACAGAGGTTTTTTTTTTTTTTTTACATATGCGGCCTCTTGGCATTAAAGCCCACCCACACATATGCATCACATCGTCGGGAAAAGGTTACTTTCCCCATGGGCCCAAACTACTATAACGTGATGTCACCCGAATGGAACAAATGCATTTGTTAATCTTGTTATAACGTTTTTTTTTATTCATTGATCTTCATTACTGTGTCTATTTGAAGATTTGTGTACATTGGAATCTACAAAAATGAAATTTTCATCCAAAAAAAAGAATGAAGTGTGACTTGGAACTATTGAACGTCATAGGAATCCTCGTGTCTGCCATCATGAAATGCATTACAAATAGCTCAGGTGTGAATGGCGGCGTACTGAATGGGATGATGGAGGAAGCTTCTATGGCCTCATGGACATTTCTAGGCTTAGCGTATAATTCCTGACTTTCTCCTGTACCGGGCAGCCTCAGCTGGTGCGTACAACCTTCCATACAAGTGAATGCCTGTACGCAGCTATAGCCGCGTAAACTATCTCTATGTGCATTGTCATCTACCAGCACATACACATGGCTTGTATTTCCTGAAAGCATATACTTCGCGCTGAGGAAGTACACTGAACATGCGTTTACATGAATCAGCTGCGTTCAGCCAATCACTTGTATGCCTGACTGTACGTGCTAGCTGCGGCTCTATGGCGTTGGTAATAGCCAGGAATGTTCCACCAGCAGACGTCCATGTGCATGAAGCCCATAGCTGTGTATGGCATGCAATGCTCCTGCTTATGTCAGTGACTCTGGGGGTACGTGTACCACATTCACACTTCAAGGAGCAGCGCTCTGCACCTTCCCCTACGGGAGACACACAGCACACCCTGTGACTGGACGACCCTCCCTGCCGCCCTCTCGTCACTCAGGGACCGGCAGGAAGCGCCGGCTGACGTACTTCCTGCCCGGGAAGCAACCTCTTTCCTGGGCTGCCCCTGGAGAGGTGGGGAGGTTTTGGTGTGACGGGAGAGGAGGCACACAGGAGCTGGACACTGAGGCTTCCGGCGCAATCCCCCCTCCTGCACAACCCGGGGGGAGAGAGAGAGGATCCGGAACGCTGTACTGCAGACCTGTGCTTCCCGCCCGGACCGAGTTTGCGGGTGCACAATCCCATTGCGGCCGAGGAGGAGGATGAAGCCTGGGGAGAGGCGGCAGTAAGAGAGCACGGAGCGCAAAATGCAGAGAACCATGGAGGGGAAGCCCGGCCTGCAGACCGTCTACCAGGCCGTGCAGGCCCTCTACCATGACCCGGATCCCAGCGGGAAGGAGAGAGCCTCGCTGTGGCTGGGAGAGCTGCAGAGATCGGTAAGGGGCCTGTACACACACCTCCGACATGGGGCTCATGAGGGCAGGGCGGGATCCCCAACCTATGGGCCTCCCAGACATGAGGGCTGACCCTGGTGCTGGGGGATCAGGATGTGGCACAATTAGATGTGAGATCTCCTGTCTGTATGAGGGCTGAGCCCATCCTGCTGGGCATGAACTGCTCCTACCAGGGGGTGTGCTGGATCCTTCCTCCTCTGTCAGGTCTGGACTGTTCCCCCAATATGTGATCATCATGTCAGGGGTGATCCTTCCCCATTGTGAGATCAGTCTTCCCCCAATACATGGCTGCCCCCAGATCCATGTGGCCCCTCACTCACCCCATTATAATAGAGGAAAGGACAAAACTGTCCTTTTTAGTTTTGGATTGGGCGGGGCAGGGTTAAACTTCTACAACAGGAAGTGAGAAGAAATCGCTGGGGGAGCTTCCTGCTCCCACAGTTGTTACTGACACAGGTGACTCCATTGGAAGATTTGCATTCACGGCAGTCGCTGCGTTACAGTGCAGAGCCGGGGGTGCGGTGGGATCGCAGCAGTACTGATCGCGGCACTGTTCAATTTATTGGAAAGTCACAGTGACATTGCATTACGTGGGATTGGCCATTGCTCAGTGCATGGCGGTGGATTGCCTCATGTTCTACACTGGAAAAACCTACCAGCCACATAGGAGACGAGGCATTTTACCTTGGCGTGCACTGAAATAGCCATCCAACACTTAACAATCACACCTGTAGTGTTAATGCGAGTCATTCATTGAGTTTCAGTCATGTTTAGCATGCGCTAAAGGTGAGTTAAAGGATACGTTTACCTTTGGAACATGTTACATGTTCCACCCGTTTTTAGGGTGGAACATGTAACATGTTCCCATAGCTGCAGCCGCCGCCCTCCCTCCCTTTGACAGACAGTATGGGGATAAAAGGAGAGAGAGGGGCGCCAGACTAAGTGCAGTATTTGACAATCATTTATTGCACACAATGGTATGTAACTCACAAGAGGTAAGTTGTTAGCAGGCATGGATACATAGGGACGTCATCCCGATGATGTTCTAGAGGCAGAGAAGAGAGGGTCTATGGACATCTGGGGGTCATGGCTGTGATGGAAGCCAGGTCTCCTGACTCACATCGAGTCCTCTGCAGCGTGTACAGGCTGTGTCTTGTGTGGAACCATGAGATGGCAGCCGGACGGAAGTGATGTCACTACGGGAACGTAATGCCGCAGGAAGGGGTGGTAACGCGTTTCAAAGCTGTTGCTTCTTTGTAGTGAGATGTCCATCCACCCTCTCTTCTCTGCCTCTGGAACCCCATCTGGATGACGTCCCTATGTATCCATACCTGCAAACTACTTACCTCTTGTGAGTTACATACCATTGTGTGCAGTAAATGATTGTTAAATAGTGCACTTAGTCTGGCGCCCCTCTCTCTCCTTTTATCTTCCACTACAGAGTCCAGCTTAACTCTCTAGGGTGCTGCCTCATGACTGTGCTATCCAAATAACTGAATACCTCCCTACTACCTATGGGACTGTAATATTTAACCCCATCTCTCCAGCGCTGATGTATTACCTATTGTTAGACAGTACGGGGAGAAGTCTCTTCATACTATCTGTCAAATTTGAAAACAGCGCTGCCATGAGGGGCCCACACGGCCGCATCATCATTCATTCACGGCCTTCCATGAATGAATGAACTGCAAGTCCTGACAGCCTTGGCGGCTGTGGGATTGTAGTTTACAGTGAACTGCCACGGCGCTGTGAGCACTGAGGTAGTTCATTGAAGCTTCCTGTCAGTATATCTGCTTGTACATCCTGTACGGCAAGCAGATATTCTGACAAGTCTGCAGGAGACCTGCATGGCATCAGCGATCTACTAAGGTGAACTTGTCCTTTAAAAATGCTCTATGCTCATTTGACCAGCATTAAAAATGCACCCAGATTCCTAGGTTTTTTCTTGGTTGAGCAAGACCTAACTCCCTGGAAACACCTCAAACACATGCCGGTGCATTTATGCCCCTTTACCATAGACTTGAATAGAAGGAGTTGAGGTGCTACAGTTCTTTTCAAACTCCACATGAAGCTTCATTTCTGAAGCATAGCAATGCAATGCAAACTCTTCATATTTTGATAATGTGAACAGCTTTATGTGCTGTCCATAGTATTAATTGCAGAGTAGTTTACTAGAAGTTTAAGGAGGGTTAAAAGTGACCCGGGAGGAAGTTACAAACACTGGAGCAGCTGTGCATGGTGGTCAATTAGCTTTTAGCTTTCTTTTTCAAAACTTAAAATAAAACTAAAGGCTGAACTTTTTTTTTTTTTCCATTTTGGATGGGGGGTAGGTATAACCCCCCTCATGGTTTTTTTTTTTTTTTTTTTTGCATCTGTGTGCCATTGGGGAGGTTTCCCTTCACTTCCTGTCCCATAGCCAAACAGGAAGTGGGAGGAAAGGCTGCCACCAGAGTCCCCCTTGTAAGATTTCCCCTCTAGTCCTGTTCTGGTCACAACCCAAGATCTGAAAATGTGGTATTTTCTTTCATTCTTGGTGATAACAGTAAACAGGAGAAATAAAGAGGGTGAATCTCGCTAACAGGGGCATAGACAGAAAAAAAACAAAAAAAAAACAAACCTGACAGTGGTTCTAATCCCTCTCCAGTCTATTTAAAACTTTTTAAAAAAGTCTTCTGAAGTCCCCTGATTGCGCTGTAAGCTCATCCGCTTCTCGGTGTGCCACCATAGGAAGCTGCTTCTTTTAGTGGCACACCTGTTTGGCTCGATCCTATGCTGAGCTGTGTGCATCTATTGACACTCGAAGTGTGGCTTAGCCCTGCTCTTTGCTCACAGGATTTGATTGACAGCAGCAGGATCCAACACCTCCCATTGCTGCCTGTGTAAGCAGAGAGAGAAAAAACCGCTGCAGACAGGTATAACACTGGATCAAGTCAGGACTCTGGTAAATAGGCAGGGGGCTGACAGGGCGATACAAAACTTGTGTCATTTGCTACCTTAATGCATGGAATACATTAAGATAAAAAATTTTCAGACTTTAGAACCACTTTAATGGAACAAAATGAAGATAGTAAGCCCCCCCCCCCCCCCCCAGTTTATACCATAGTGTTGCTGTGGTCTGTGCTCAAAACAGTTCTGCACTTTTTAAGCACAGTGGATTGTGCGACAAACCACCACATTGAAGCACAGCTACAGCGAAAAGCACTGTATTGTAATCTCATTCATAACATTTCAACAAAGTTCTGTTGAATTAAAAAGTAAAAAAAAACAAGTGCAAATGTCCACAATCAGTTTGGTGTCTCACAGCACACACCAGCGCCCATGCTTTCAGTGTGACTCTGATGTGAAGGTGCCCTAAATCTTTGGATTTCCCATCACTTTCTGTCTCTGATGAAGTGGTCAGAACGACAAATAGGGAGGGTGAGCCTTCTTAGCTGAGACACAGATTGCAAGAAGAGCTTGACAGAGATTCTCTCCCTTCTCTAGTCTATTCAAAATAAAACCTTTTCTCCATGCATATTTTATACTGTAGGCGTTCATACCATGTTGGTTGAGCTGCATTTTCTGCACACTGCTGCACATGTATGGTATGAACAGGACCTATAAAAAACAATTGTTCTCCTGACATGTCCGGTGGTGTGCAGATATATACAGTTCAACATACAAGGAATGACTATACCAGCACATCTCAGCCTTTGATCAGACGAGGCAACCTTTAAAATTCTGCACCCCATTCTAAAATTTAAAAAGACCCAAAAGTAATAGTTTTACATAACGCAGCAACATCAGTACATGTGAGACACTCAAGATTAGAAGTGATTTCTTCTTACAAAGCAAATACACACTGGTTCTGACTAGTATTCTAGTGTTTCTCTTCTTCCTCAGTTTCTCTCCCTCACTCAGCTAATGTGACCCCAGTCCTTATCAACCTGATGACATCATTGGTTGTTAGGATGCCGGCAGCTAGATGGTTGTAGTGGTGCTCAATGGAAACCTGTGGCTTTGTGTAAGTAAAAGGCAAACTTGATCCACCTGCTGGCTTGCATACAATTTTGGGCAATTTTTAGGCATTTTGCCAAGGCACTCCTGAATCAACTTGAAGGCATCCTGATTGAAAAAGGCTGGAACACCCTGTCAAGGGAGGTGTGATCACCTGCACAGACATTACAAACTCTTGCTGCATCCGAGAGCTTGATATGGTAAACAAACTATCTACCAGATTTTATACAAAGATTTCCTGATCATCATAACACATATAGTGAGTATAAGGCATGAAAGAACCTTTGGGCTACATTCGTATTGAACTGAGCTTTTTAAGGCATTTTTTCAGGCATTTTTGAGCAGATTTGCAAATATTATAGGTGTTTTTCAGGCGTTTTTCATTTAGGCGTTTTTGCTGTGGCCAATTTCCACTGTTCAGGCATTTTCCATTCAAGTCTATGGAGACAAAATGCTCAGATCTGCCTGAAAAATAGCACAAGTATTCGAGCGACAGGCATTTTGCTACAGGCGACAGAACACTCAAGTGTGAACAGGGGCCATTGGAAATAATGGGATTATAGTTGTTGAGTGTTTTTGAGCTTTGAGCTGAAAAACACTCCAGTGTGAACGGGGTCTTAGGCTCCATTCACACTGAGCTGAGCGTTTTCAGACGTTTTTTCAAGTGTTTTTTTCAGGTATTTTTTAGAACAGATTTGCAAATATTATAGGCGGTTTTTCAGGCTTTTTTCATTTAGGCGTTTGAGCAGTGGCCAATAGAAATAGTTGCTGTTTTGAGCTGAAAACGGTTGGAAAAAAACTCTCATTCCCACTGTTCAGGCATTTTCATTACAGTCTATGCAGACAAAACGCTTAGATCTGCCTGAAAAGTAGCGCAAGTACTTTTTTGAGCGACACACGTTTTGCTACAGGGGACAGAATGCTCTGGTGTGAACAGGGGCCATTGGAAATGATGGGATTTTACTTGAGTGTGTCCCATGACCAAT